ACCTTTCTGATTTGGGATGTTTAACCAATGCTACTTCAGCGTCATATTTGACGCTTTTTGGTATTATTCCTGACCTTGGTTTTGCTCTATGAATTTCGGATGGTTTTTCGTCAGTGAGTATGGAATCAGTACTATTTCTTGCTGACTGTTCGATATAATTTGCATCATTTCCAGATACTGAAAAATTGGAAACATCTGTAGTGCGAGGTGGAGATTGATCTTCAGACTGATCCAAGTTTGACATTTCATTGTACACATTTTCACTTTTTAAAGAATCTCCCCTCCTTTCTATAAACGTTCTAAGATTACGATCAGAAATAAATTCAGGTTTAGGATCATTATAAATCTCCTGTGAATTTGAATATGTTTCATCCTTGTTAGAAATTGAGTTGGATTTGCGAGGTATCTGAATGTCATCATCAGGTCTCTTTATCACTTTTACAAGTGCTGTACTAGTTACATATACCGAATCGTAAGTGATATCTGAAGTTCTTTTGTAATCTTTACTTTTCACGGTAATTAGCACTTTATTTCTTTGACTAAAACAACAAAGCGGCATGTTTTTGGCTGAACTATCACTAATACACCTTAAATTTATATGCTGACTCGATACTGCAGTCACTAACGTCTTACACAAAGATGTGAAAGATAATAAATAAAGTGAACCTTATCTGCTATTGTTTGTTAATTAGATATAGAAACATTTGAGTCATCGATATCATTGATAGGTATCATTTTCAGCTTTGTGGAGACAGGCCACATGACATATATTATGTGTACCTAATTTCATAGAATAACCTTTTAAGAAAAATACTTTTCGTAATGTTTTTCAAATGTAATTTGTTCCATAATTCTACAGTGATGTAAGTGCCATTTAGAAAATTTCGCATGAAATGGTAGTCCATTTCGAATAGAATTCTGCACTAAGTGTTGCAAAAGTATACACTGATCTATGTTTACTTGATGTCAATAATTTTTGATAGACGTATATAGCTCCTTTTACATAGATACTAAATGAATAGAACATGTGCATCATTATACAATAATGTAAATGGAACAACTGATTCAGGATTATGGTGATACCATATATTGATACATCCAAGGTTAATTATGATTTGGCGATCAATATCTTTCTTTTTCCAAGTGATCTTCTTGCGAAGATCACTTGGAAGGAGAACAGAAGAGTGTTAGAATATTGTGTAGCATGAATAATACACATTCACAATATAGTAAACTATAGATGTGACGTCTATACATAAAGGATGTTTTCCTCAAAAGAGTCGTGGTACTACATTGTCTTATTGAAACATAGCTTATTAATACAAATAATAGTGTCCCATAATGAAATATCCATTGGAAAAAACTCGTGGATTATTATTTTTCGAAACTTCGTCTTCTCCATCGTTTCCGTTCATCATGCAAACCCAGAGCGGGGTTTATCACTGAATATAATAATAATAAAATGAATTTATTGAGAAACATTCTTTACATTGTAGAATTACATTCATTTCAATTGATACAATAATTACAACTAGGAAGAATGCTCTCAAAACGACTGAATTCAGTTTTGAGTCTGATCTTTCATTCAGCCCTCGAGCAAAAATATTGGTTCAAACAAAAATATTGGTTAAATTTATATTTACAATAATATACAACTTTATTTGAAAATAAAAAAAAATTACCTCAGAAATATTAAACATTTGAGACAATTTCACATGGTGAAGAACATTTGTGTTCAAAAAAATATAAAAACATATGATACAAAAAATTGATTCATACATTATTGCCTACATTCGAATCATCGAAATACACTATACTATACTATACACTATACTATACTGCCACACTATAGTATGCCTTTGTTAAGAGCAGAAATTCAACCCTCCTTTTAAACAAATGGGTTTTCAGTAGTTTCAAATTCGATAGTAAATGGTTGAAAATTTTAATACTCTGATAATAGAGTGCTCAAATTTAGCTGTTTTTTGCCTAGGAATAAGTAGTAAATCCCTGTTCCTTGTTGAATACTCATGATTACTATTCAACTTAATCAACATATCTTCATTTTCTTTAACAAATAACAAACATCTATAAATATACATCTAAACACGGTAAAGTGAGTATGTATGTAATTGTTAATGAAGATAGGTTTACAAGATGTTCGTTGATGAATATTGAATATTAATCGAAGTGTTCGCTTCTGTGTAATAAACACCCTATTTATTTCTGTAGAGCAGCTCCACAGCAGAATATTATAATTGAGATGACTATATACAAGACTGTAATACACATTCATAACACAGTTTCTAGGTACGATGTTCTTAATTCTAAAGATTGAAAAAAATGAGTTACTCAATTTTTTACATAAGACCTCAATGTGTGATGTCCATCTCAAATTTCTGTCTACATATATTCCAAGAAACTTCGTTGATTGGGATGATGATATAGTGTTGTCCCCATATTTAACATCCAAGGTACTAATTCCATTGCCTTCAGACAAAAATTAACACATACAGTTTTGTCAACGTTCACTATCAGATTGTTCATCCGACACCAACTTACGAACTCCCTCACAATGCATTCATATGCCTCCAGAAGTTCTTCAGGAGTCCTGCCAGAAACGACCACCGATGAATCATCGGAACTTAGTGTCACCAAAAACTGGGACAACTTCGCAGGCAGATTGTTTATAAAGAATATGAATAGAAGAGATCCGAGCACAGAGCCTTGCGGCACCCCAAGAGCAATGTCATGTTTCTGAGAATAACTCTCGCCTATTTTCTTTCTTCAAGATATCTACGTAACCAATTCAGAAAAACACCTTTAAAACCTAAATTGTAGCATTTATCAAGTAAAAATTCAAAGCATAGTGAATCAAATGCCAAAGATAAATCAAAAAATAACTCGGCCACAAATAAGTGTTTATCCAAACACTCGTAGACGGATTCGAAAAACTTAACTGCAACTGATTGAGTTGAATGGCCGCTTCTGAATCCATATTCAATATATCCAATATATTTAACATTTCAGTTGTGCAAGGTTTCATCCCTTTTAGGTGATAAAGAAACGGCCAGAATTTCTTGTTTCAGACAAGCTTTTACATATCATACAATCTACTGATTTAAGTTGACAAAAATTCGAGATTGACAGAGGTGGGCTCTAAGAATTTGTTCCTACAACACCAAAGTCCTCACAATTTTTTCTATTTTACTGGAAACTAATCTTTTCTAAGACTTGGTTTCTACCTTTCGAAGAATCCTACAGTCAAGTCATTCAAGGTGGGCTGACAATGCTCTCAAAGCATTGTACTCAAAATGGGGTTTAACAACAAACAATGGATATATTGAAATTAAATTGAAACCGTACTTATGTCCAGTTTCGTACAGTACTACGATACAAGTAAGGCTTCGGTAGCTAGTAAAGGTTCCTTAACGACGTTGCAGTTCACCACAGAAACTTAGGCATATCGAAATCTGAAAAACTATTATCTTTAAAATCTCGAAGTAAAATACTTCGACGAGAATAAATAGGTCGAAATGAATTTTTGTTCACTTTATATATATATATATATATATATATATATATATATATATATATATATATATATAGTTAAGAGTTTACGGTATTTACCTGAGATTTACGTTGTTTGTTTATTTGTACCAGCCGTTTACATATGTTTCAAGCTTATTGGCTCTCATCAGAACGGCGTAGTTCAAGTTATTAGATGTTACACACTTGAAAGTTGATTAAAAAGGAAAAACACAGAACAAAACAACACAAAATTCCACGTGAGGAATCTACATCATTTTTGGTTAAATCGAATATCTTGACCAAGCTTGTTAAAGCTATATTTTCAGACTGAATCGATGTCTACCTGCGATGAGATATTTATACCTTCTAGAATTTTGTACCGACAATATTATGAATTAAAAACAAGGTTTGTCAGGCAGAAAATGAAGTTAAGAGTTTACGGTATTTACCTGAGATTTACGTTGTTTGTTTATTTGTAACAGCCGTTTACATGATGTAGATTCCTCACGTGGAATTTTGTGTTGTTTTGTTCTGTGTTTTTCCTTTTTAATCAACTTTCAAGTGTGTAACATCTAATAACTTGAACTACGCCGTTCTGATGAGAGCCAATAAGCTTGAAACATATGTAAACGGCTGTTACAAATAAACAAACAACGTAAATCTCAGGTAAATACCGTAAACTCTTAACTTCATTTTCTGCCTGACAAACCTTGTTTTTAATTCATAATATTGTCGGTACAAAATTCTAGAAGGTATAAATATCTCATCGCAGGTAGACATCGATTCAGTCTGAAAATATAGCTTTAACAAGCTTGGTCAAGATATTCGATTTAACCAAAAATGATGTAGATTCCTCACGTGGAATTTTGTGTTGTTTTGTTCTGTGTTTTTCCTTTTTAATCAACTTTCAAGTGTGTAACATCTAATAACTTGAACTACGCCGTTCTGATGAGAGCCAATAAGCTTGAAACATATGTAAAATAAACAAACAACGTAAATCTCAGGTAAATACCGCTTCATTTTCTGCCTGACAAACCTTGTTTTTAATATATATATATATATATATATATATATATATATATATATATATATATATATATATATATATATATATATATATATGTTACAAATAAACAAACAACGTAAATCTCAGGTAAATACCGTAAACTCTTAACTTCATTTTTCTGCCTGACAAACCTTGTTTTTAATATATATATATATATATATATATATATATATATATATATATATATATATATATATATATATATATATATATATATATATATATATCGTTGGTATTATTCAAAGATTTATTTTGTTTTTTTTTTGTAATGAGTACTTTGATATTTTTTCATAAAAAATAATAATGAACAAAAATATGTGGAGCAAAAATCGGTGCTTAAATTGCATCGCCATATTACTTAATACATATTCGAAATGATCGTCGAATAGATTGTCATCAATTACAGACCTCGTTAGCTTAGTTGGTAGAGCAACAGGACGTAAACCTGAGAGACCTGGGTTCGTATCCCAGCCGAGGTTGAAAACTTTCCAAATTTAAATATTTCTTCATATACTATATATATATATATATATATATATATATATATATATATATATATATATATATATATATATATATATATATCCATAATAATAATGACTCCATAATACCGTAGAGTAATGAATACAAGCATCTAACGTGTACATGTCTTCTATACCCGTAGGTATATACTAAATTGCAACATCTATTTGACAAATGTCATCATATGATGTTTTCAAATGTCAATAGGTTTTGTTAGCAGTACGCTCCTGATTCAACTATTGGTTGTCTTACAGCCTGCACCAATAGTTCGAATTTTGTTCGAGTGTTCTAATTTTAAGTCAAGAAAAGTCATCCTTGGCAATAGAAAGCATTTTCAGTTGATTTGTGACTGATAGTTTTTGTAAATAAGTTACTTCAATGAAATGTTTGATAAAATGTTTTCGGCTTAATGTTAGGCATTCGCAACTTGGGCTTTCTGCTATAATTGTTTCTTTACTGATTTTCACATTTATTAAAGCTGATTCCACAACGTATTCACTCCTATTCAACGTGCCAATTAATTCATTGTTTTTCGTTTTTACTTTAAGAGACCCAGCTCTCATTATTAAGAATGCGCCTGCATCTCCTCTTTTCTTGATGGTTTCAGTTACAGTTGAAAAAAAAAATAGAAAATTATCCTCGTTTGTCGTGTTGAAAGTAAAAGTAACCAGTTCATTGCGTCCTTCTCCTTCCGGTCTTTTAATGATTTCTTTGAACGATTGTTTGTCTAAAACCCTTAGTTTTCCTTTTGTAACCGCTCGAACACTAGCCTTTTTTTACGTTTTATAGTGGAGCCAATTCTCCAAAATATACTTTGACATTATCGGACTGGAATTTTATGCCGCACTATGTGTAACTTCGTATTCACCAAAGGCAGAAATGATTAACTGTGGGCCAATCTCAACCGGCTCAATAATTGATTTTCCAACTTCTACTTCTTGAGAGCATATTTTTCTGGAAATTCCTCGACTCTATTATCTGTGATATTGTGGCTAAAAAACTAATTTTTTCCAATAGCTTTTCGAATTTCACTCCCATATCTGTGAAAAAATAATAGAAATTAGTGATTTCGATCTTTAAATGTAGTGTTATGGGGATATTAGTAGACTGCATATCTTCATTTTTTTTTGGAATTTATATCCAATCGAAAGTACCGTGCTTTTTGGTGTATATTATTTTATTCAGAAATTTTAACTAACCTTAACTCTCAAGTTCATCGTCTGGTTGAATGGAATATAGTATTGAAGTAAAATATAGGCATATGTAAAGAAAGACATCTAACTTATTATAAAATATCTGAACTGTTATGTTTAGGAATTCATTTTTATGAATAGAAGAAACCTAGAACAATTATAATTGGATTTTCAAAAGTGAAGTTCAACTTAATTAGTAAATCTAAAATAAACAAAATTTTAGTTTAAATGAAATTTGAGTAATTTAACATTGGAATCAGAAATAAAATGAATTAACGAATAGCGAATCAATATACGAAATATACGAAATTTTGAAATAAATAATTTTCAGATGAAATTAAAATTGAATACATAATTTAGTAACAAAATTACTAAATTGGAATTTAGTAAACTAAAACTTTACTAATTGTAATTAGTAAACAGCAACAAGTCGATCTAAAATAATCAAAATTAGTAGATTGAGTGATATTTCAAAACTACAACTGCATATAACAAACTGCAATTTATATAGTCAACCTCAAATACACAAAATTTCATATTAAAGGAAAATCAAGTAATTGAATACCAGAGACAGAAGGAAAATAATGTTTCAACATCAAACTAATAATTAATTCTTAAATTAACAAAATTTAATCCTAATTTTAAATTATCGAAACATTAGATTAAATTAATACTTTGCTTTATAATTTAAATATAACCATACCATCAATATAAGCAAGAAGATACTGTCCTGCAAATTTCTTTTTAGTATTAGAAGAAACTCGCACATCATTCGCTTTATATAGTCTTTTCACATTGGGCTAGGTCCACACCTTTCAGTTCTTTTAATTTTCCCCACCATGGCAACTGAATAGTTCGAGGTATTCATTGAAATATAACTTTTTAAGGATATTTTGTGAAAATAGGATAAATCTTCTGTAAATAACTGAACGTCTAATTTGGTTTTATTCCAAACGAACCACAAAGATAAAGCAATGTCATTAATTATATATTTTTGTTTTATTGACTTTAAAATTGTTTTTTCAGATGTACCTATTAAATTTGTAATTTTGAAAATATGTCTTTCTAATTACATTTTAAAAAAACGAATACATTATCAGGGATCATAAAAGCAGTTATGCGTTATTACACATTTTGAAAAGCAGTAACTGCATATTGCTATTTGAGAATATAAAAAAAAATTTTAAATGTCTATACATATCATAATTTTTCAATATTAATCAATCATCTTCAGTAAATCTGAATGAAATAAAAAAGGCAAAGACAATGAAGAAAAAAAGCATAGAGTGGAAAAGATCGCTACGTATGCTGTTCTATGACGATTTATGAGTTTATGAATACTCTGAATAAAGACGATGACAACATATTCAAATAATTGAAAAATTTTAAATTTAAATTTTAAGTACTTCTGGCAGAATTTTCCATTAGAGATATAATGCCTGGTATTTTACAACTATTTTTAGAAATTTTTCATAAGTTGGCAGTAAATGTATATGTCGAAATTGCTATAGTTTGACAGCTTTGCAGATGATTGATGAACATTTCCAATCTTTCGAAAATACTCCATCTTTAACAGTTTTGTTATAGATTTTATGACATATTCATTGTCATGTAACACATGTAACAGACTTATTAACTATTTTGTGTACACTATCTACGAAATAGGTGGAAGTAATTTTATAAGTCGAAATTGCTCTAGTTTAATAGAACAACTTTAGTATGCTCCAGTATTGCCATTTTTTGGCATAGGTATTATTGATGTACATACTGAGATTGAATTCTCGCTTACGTTTTGGAGAAACAGGATTGAATAATAATTTGACTTAACTCTTGGCTTAATGTTTCACGAATATATCGAAAAATAAAAGCAATGAGATTATTACATTCTTCTTAACATATTCAGTCAATGAAAGATGTTCATTGTATTATACAATTTCATTCTATTATTTTTTATTTAAATTATAAATGAATGAACATTTTCAACCTTTTGGTAATACTCCATTGTCATTGTTGTGACATTGAATTGATAATGATTCTATTAAGAGCCTCAGTATTTACTAGTTTGAATGGTTCGTGAATCTTGAAACTATATATATATATATATATATATATAATATATATATATATATATATATATATATATATATATATATATATATATATATATATATATTATTTATTATGCTGTTCGTTTTATAGGGGTTAAGTTGAGTAGCTTATGTTACATTTCTCCTCTTCTTATGTGGTATTGTATTAATATAATACTCAATGAAGGCAATTTATTATTATTATTATTATTTCATCTTTGCATCTACCTGTATTTTTCAAACTTCTCAGGATATTTTTCTAATACGCCATTTATGTACTTATAAGTTCTAGAAATTACGCATTTTTACCAAGTTTTGTATAGATTTTATGACATATTCGTGGTCATCTAACTGAATTATAGCATTTAACTATATTTATAATATTAAGTATAAATTTTACACTTAACTCATCTCGTATAATCGTTATTATTGTGTTTTGGCCATAATTTTTTATCAAATTGTTTTTTTTTAATTCAGTGGACCTACACAGTTAAACGCCGGTTCCGAACGGCCATTGGGCTTGTAATCGATGTAGATTACCCAGCGTATTTCATTATTCAAACTACTTAAATCATAGACAAACACCCATGTCTTCAGCGGGGCTCGAACCCGAGTTCTACCGCGCCATTGTTTATTTAATATGGGTGAATAATTATATTCTAATCGATTCTTGTTTCGAACGTAAAGAACAATATGATATTTGAACATTTTTCAACATTCAGGTTAGCAACAAAAAAAAGGAATTGTGTATAAGAAACACGTGGAACATTTGTCTGATCATCTAGGTAAATTCACAATATCGACATAAAAAGTATGTCGACTGTAAAATGCGGATCATGTGGAAACGGAACAGCAAAAGAATCAATTGTACAAGATGCGAGAATAAATGTCATGCAATATGTGTATTGAACGAGATGGAAATAAATATTTTATCTGAAAATTACAACCATTGAATTGAAACAAATTCAAAAATTTACAACCACAAACTGAAACAAATGCTGAAGTGCTCAGAAAAAATAAAGCAGAAAGTGATTTCATTGATGAAACTATCTTGTTGTCCATCAGCAACCGAGGTAAAGAAAAGAGATGTTCCGAAGTTTTGCTCATAAAGACAATGGTCGAACGAAGAAATATACAAACAAGTGCAACAGTATTGATCCAAGCAAGCTCAAAGTTCGTATGGATGGAATGAAAAATATAAAAAATGGAAGTGTATGAATAAATAGTACACTAGCAAAACGGTAGAAACAAATCACGTCAAGTTACACAAAAATTAGTGAATAAATACAAGGTTGTGGAAAGTAAATTGAAAAATCCAAAAATAACACTTAAAGGTTCCGAAATTGAATTCATGGAACACGAAAACAACGAATTGTTTGCATGTTTGATTGATCATAACGATTGAGAAATAGGTGATAAAATTAACAATAAATAAAATTGATAAGGAAATATGCAGTCAAAATGCATGGAATACATGGAAATATAGCTTTTTATATGAACGAATTAAACTAAAAGGAAAATTTAATATTGGATGGAGCCGCTCTTATATTGCTGCTTAAATTGTGCCTGTTTCAATCGTCGAAAGATCGCACAAATGATAAAGTGTGCTTCAAGTGTTGTTCAAGTTTCCTACTGAACATTATTTCAATTAGTCTGAGTAAGAAAAAGAGAACACAT